AAAAGAATTTAAGGTATTCAAGGTCCTTCAGATGTTTTCATATATGATATTAGCTTGTGTGTGTGGTAATATTAAAAAAAAGCTTTTCTTCACAGTTGTTCTAATATTTCAATGTTGTTAGAATAAAATACATCCAAACAAGTCATAGGTAGAAACATATTAATGCTTTTCTCAATCCATGGGATTTCTTTGTTTTAAGTAATGGTTTGGTTTGGGGATTTTTTTTTTTTGTCAAGTACAGTTGATACCATAGTTCAGAGTAGACACGTACCTTTCTTGATACATCTACAAATCTTTAGTCACACTTTCCTTTTTTGTTTTTCTAATTGGCTGAACACTAGCTTAGTTTGGAGTCATGTTGCTTGTACAGACCTCAAAACAAGTTTCAGAAGTGGCCAAGTATAATATTTTATTCTAATGTAATGCTCGTTTGAGAACTTTGCTGCTGTTGTCTTAAAAATGTGAAGGCAAATATCTTTGACTAGTCATATGAATTTGAATGTATAATTGTACCTACACTGTCATTTTATCCACATACCTTTGTGGGTTTTTTTTACCATCCCTAATATCAGGACTGTTTTGTAGTAATTCAGACCTAAACTAGCCTTCTTGATGTTTTGTCTAAAAATGCCCTACATTTCTCTTAAAAAGACTTGAATATTTTCAAGCCAGTTTTTTTGGAACACCTTCATTATGTGGGAGGCTCTTAAAATAACTTCCTCCTCTATTGTAGAAAACATGTGTTTTGTCTTATGTACAATAACAGCATCCCATTAATTTAAAAGGGTTAATGTCTGTGATCAGAAGCCCTTTCCTAACACTTTCTAACACTGATTTAGGAACTGATTCAGCCCAAGACTTTTGTTAGTCAAAATTAATTTGTAACTTCCAGTGAAATACCAGTGTCAAAATGGAACTACTTCATGGAAAAATCCTAGAGAAGACTTAAGAGATCAAAGGTACAATTAAGTAATCCTGTGTCAGTTTCTTTCTGGCCAGGAGAAGGGCTTGGACATGCTGCGGATTGGGAAGGTCTGATTGAATTTCCACACAAAAGGACAAATCTCTAGGAATAGCTATTAACCCTTTGGAGCCAGGTATAAAACCTGAAATAGAAAGGAAAGTAGTTGAGGCTATTAGTTTCTCCCTTTCTCAGCTGTGCATTGTGGGTTAAATACAGTTCTTGTGATGTCTTTAAATACACACTTTATTATTTGCTAGAAATCACACTCTTGGTTTGATATGTACCCTCTGGTGCCTTTGTACTGTGAGTGGTACCCATTGAAGTTGGGGCTGTTTTTGTTGCCAGATGAGTACTGGGAGCATTGTGCCAAGTGTCACATGAATGTAGGCTGTGTTGAAGCCAGCAATTCCTGTTACAGTCTCCCTCAGTAATGTGCACTCCTTGGAAAAGGTGAATTGCAGGGGAGTTTCTAGTTCTTGTCTGGCTTGTCATCTGCTGATTCCCTGCTGTGCTCTTTGTTTTCCCTTTCTTGAAAGGGCAGCAGCAGCTACCATCTGCCCATGGCTTGAAATGGTTTGCATGCTGCTGGTTGGTACATGTCAACGCTTTGTGGCAGTGCTTACTGCAGGTGGAAAGCTGTTGGCTTGATGGATGCCTCTCTTTGTGGAGTACCATCAGTCATGGAATTTTTTGAACTTCATCTTTGTTTAGTTTCAATAGTAATATAAATATATTATTTTGTGAAAGGGCATAGTGCTAAATGGATGATTTTTGTTCATAACCATAGCTTCTGAAATATGTTTGTGTACATTCTATATGTTACTACCTAGGCTTGTTTTCAAAAGTGAGTTCATTTGTTTTATGATTTCTTTTGTATTTAATAATTGATATGTAGTCTATATCTACTCTTACTTTGATATGATCTATTTTTATTATTAATGTGTGAACACAGACATTTTGGTAGCGTTAATGAGGAGGTATAGTTTAATTGTCTCATAAATAGTATTTCCCAACAAAATTAAGAACTGTCTTCAGCAAAGGAAAACATCTCTTGTTCTTTGTTCAAAGAAATCCTTGAAGGGGTTATTTCCACATATATTTGCAGACTTCCTTAATTTCCAGGAATCCTAGATCCTATTGATAGAAGAAATTGTTTGGTTTGTGTTTTGCTTGTTTATAATAATTCTTTAGTGCTTACTGTCACTGCTGAGTACATTAAAAGTCCTTATTGCCTGGTCTTAAGGCATAAAGTCTGATCCTGACTTAGACTGCAGCCTTTTTATGTTTCAGTGCAAAGACTTCTCCTTTCCCTACTGTCTTTTTTTGAACTATTTATAAAAAATACCTTATTATATTAATAAATATTTGTTATTTTTTGAAAGTCATGACTATTCTTGGTGGGTTTTTTTGTTTGGTTTGGCTTAGTTTGGGATTTTTTTTCTACTGATGGCAAAGTTGCCTCTCTCACTTTGTAATACAAGAGACCAGGGCCTACCCTGGTGGTCTAAGCCCCATTGTTTCAGGCACACTGTAAATCTGAAGCTAAACTTTTTTGATTTCTTTCCCAAAGAGCTGACTGCTTTCTTGAGAACGTTATGAGTACTTCCAAGAACAGAGTTGATGCATACTGTCCCGTGTGAAAGAAGTGACTGGATTACATAAATTGATACTCCTAGTCTGCCAAGGAGCGAATACCTTCCCTCATTCCTGCTGTCATGTCTATACAGCCTTCACTGGCTGGCAGCAGAGGAGGCTGAAGTTTGGCTCTGATAGGCCCTAGAAACATGCTGTGTGTGCATTAATATTTCTAATAAAAAATACCTGACAAAACATTTTTGAAAGTTAAATATACTTCATCTTTGCATACACAGTAAGTAATATGTAAAGTATGCATTTAAATTCCAGTATGTTTCTAGCTTGTGGATTTTTAGGTTTTTTGGATTTTTTAGTTTTTTGTGGTTGTTAAAAAAATAGAGAATAAAAAAATCACAAACTCAAAACAACCTCCCCAGAGTTCTAAGAATGCATACCCAGTTTTCCTCTGACATTCCAAACATTCCATTCAGTGTACCAGTATGTATAGTACTGAAAAGGTGTTCAGACAGAAGCTGCCTTTTTTTTCTTTCTTCCTTTTAGAAGATATACTACAGGGACCTATGATAATCTTATTCAGTGTCTTATAACAAGAAATATCTGCATGCCTTGATTGCAAATGGTGATGTTATGGGTTTCTTCCTTAAGGAGTTGAAGTCTCAAGCAGTGCTGCTGTGTAGCAGCACTTGGTGCTTTTTAGCATGTGATTTCTGCTGTTAACTGAAGTTGAAATGCTTTTGTAGGTAGATCTGTGTGTATAGTTACTTTTACTAGGGTAACTAAGGTAAGTACTGACCTTTGCTGTAACAATTTTTGGAACAGGATACTACATTTAGGTCACTTATTTGTATCCCAAGACCTCCTCTACCTTTTTATTTCTCATAGTGCAAGTGACTAACGCTGCCCCCCATACAATTCCCCTCCCTTGCTTCTCAGAGGAGCACTGCTTCCTATGTTCCTTGGCTTGCCTGGCAGACGAAGGCTGACAATCAGCACATACCCCCTCTCTAGAAATTGTTTTGCTTTGATTCAGCCTTCAGTGAAGCTACTGGTAAATGCCATTCAGGGCTTAACAACTTGATTGAATCAGTAATCTAAGTTACAAACCTAATCAGTTATGCAAAGTATGTGTTCTGCTTTCCTTTTGGGTTTTTTAAGTGTCCTCTTTATGGTCTATGGCAGGGTGTATATGTACTAGCCAGATATGTACCCCATGTATATGTACCCCATCACAGGTGTGAAGTACTGCTCTGTGAGCTTTGAAGATTTTTCTTTTTGTTTTTTTTTTTTTTTGTTTGAGCTTGATGTAGGTTTATAGTACTAATATTCTTGACCTGACTAGGTGGTGGAGTTATCACTTTTTTTTTTTGATGTTATCACTGAGAAATTAGAATAGAAATCTGATGTAAAGAACTTTATTGAGAAAGAGGTGCCAGCTTAATTTTGAAACTTATCCCAATGGATAAATTTAAGATAAATGTAGCTTTTGTCAGGAAGACTGATTTTTTTTCTTTTTTCTTGTTAGTATTTCATGTTATTCTAAGTTTAACTGTTAAATACAAAATTTTAATAGACATAGTAAGATCTATATGTATAAATAAGGGGGAAGTTGAGTTGTAAAAATAAAGGATCACTACTGACTCCCTGTATCTGAAACGTTCATCATTAGACAGTACCTAGGCTTAAGGTTTTCCATTATGGAATTTAATTGCAAAAGATTGGTATGATTTTTTTGTTCATCCTGTCTGATAATAATAATGAGAATTCTTTCTTTGTTATTGATGTGAAAATTAAGACCAAAATATCATTGTCAAATTTTCGTTAAAACTGCCTGCCTTAAATTTGGGAACAGAGTACCAGGTAGGATGGCAGGTTAAGACAGACTGTAGCAAGTTAGAAATCATTTGGATGTTTGTTTTCAACAATAATTAATTCAAATATATAAAAAGAATAATATCTCAATTCTGTTCCATAATAAATAATGTTAATTTTTGAGAGTCTTTCCTTTACACTTGACGATATTTAATAATTAAAATGCTTTTATGTGTTATGCACCAATGGACTTAATGTACTGCTGGTGTTTCTCTGGGACAAAATAAGCTAAGTGAAGGCAAAAGGTGAGACATTTCAAATTCGTAGCTTAGTCTAGCTCTAAGAATAATATTAAAGTATGGCTAGTTAGGAATGTCTTGTCTTCTATTTAGACCTCAGACACATTTTTAGACTGTTGGTTATTCTTCCTCTGATGTTTATGGAAGCAGTTTGATTTTAATGGAAATCTGAATTAATTTGAAATGAAACTTGGTTAGCAGGGAAATGCACTCTGTTTTCAAAATATTTCTCTTTGAACTAATTTCTAAAATTTAAGTCAATGCAATGAATGTATTGTATATGGAACATAATCAAGGAAAACAGTTTATAATGTCTTCCATATTTCTTACAGGTTGTGAAGATGAGAAAAGATGTGAAGAAGGCCAGAGTCCTCACTATTCGCAAACTAACCAGACACATCGGGAAATTAAAGTTGAAAAAGTCAGTTTTATATAATAGTGGTTTTTTTGTGGTTTATAAATAAGACACTATTTTAACTGTTTTCACAAAAACAAAAAAAAGAGAGAAAAATGTACTACATTGAAAACTTATGGCACTAAAACGCAAATTTGTCTTATTTTAACATAATCGTAGACTAAAAATACTAACTAAAAGGAGTTTCATAAAGCAGAATTGGGATGACTTTTTTAATGGGATTGGAAGGTGATCTGAATCAGTTACAGAACCTTTTACAGCACATCTGAAAGTGTGCTGTAAAAGATTTCATCTTTTAGGTTATTCTGCTGTTGAATTTAAGTTGCACCAAGTTTTTTCACAATAGTTGTCTTCAGGAGTATGTATCAAAAAATACTTCATTTTCATAGATATACAGGTCATACTTGATTTTTAGTAATTACTATTAATTGGTTCTTATATAAGCAGCTTAAATAATATATTGTAGATTGTTTTTGAAGATTACTGGCCTGAAATAACTTGGCATGTGTCTTAGAGATGGTGTGAGATACATCTCACACTGTGTTCATAGTGTAAATTGAGGATACTCTCACAATTTTAGCAAGTTGTCCAAAATAAGAAGCAAATCCAATGAACTTCCATGTTTAAGTACTACAGGTCTTAAAATAGAATTCTATTTGAGACACTGATGTCGCCTGTTCTTGATATGAATTGTGGTTTTGTATTTTCTGATACAGTAACATTTGTTTTCACATTGTTCTGCTTAATCCTCACTGTTTCCTCTGCTGTTCAGTTCAGCAAAAGCTTTAGGCTATGTTCAGCTCTTTGCTAAAATGTTCATTTGCCAAAAAGGGATTGTGTTTATGCATCATCTCCTGATTTATTTTTTTTTTTTATTTTGCTATTTGGTATTGCCAGAGAGGAAATAAAATAACTAAACTGAGATTTCTTTAATAACAATAGACTTCACTTGCAGGGGTTCAGAAGACTTGAAATTAAAGAACCAAAAACGAGTTGAGAGATTAATAGAAGAAATCCATGCCATGAAGGTAATGCCATGTGTAGATAATTCAATATTAGACACAACTATTTTAAATTGTCTGGTTTTTGCGACTGCATTACTGAAACTTTAAAGTATTTTCAGAGTAAGCTTGAACATTAACATAGCTAGCAAATTGTGAGTATTTGCGTTTGTCAAGGTGTTAAACAATTTGAGTCTTAAGCATTCCAGACTAAACATGAATTTGCTTACCAGTGTGTGGTGTTTGAAGTTTTTACTGTAACAGTTAAAGCACAGAATTTGAAGTTCTTGTGCTGCTCAGGGGTATGGGAAGGCATTTTGTGTGTCTGACAGTACAGTATCCTCGTTGTCTGTCCTGCAAGCTCTAAATATCATGCCATTTGTATTTGGTTCTGTAATAATTTCAAATTGTAGCTGCAAGGGACTGGTTACACTTGAGTCAGATCTTTTTTTAGTGTTCAGCCTTGCTGTTAATTCATACAGTGTTTGTATCTTATATGTTATGACATCAAGAAAATGCTTCAGAAATTTTATAACTTCATAATGATTTGTGCTTATCTCTTAGTTGATACTACATAAAATTATGTATGGTGAAATGGGTTATGAATTCCAATCATAGGACTTGAGCACAAGTCATGTATAGGTTGTGACAAATGTTTTCTCACAATATGGCTGTTTTGATTGTTTTCTTGATAAGTGTATTTGATAACTGTAGTGATTATATCATTATGCTACTATTGTGTGCTATTCTGGGAGCACACAATATTTTTGTTTGTTTTTAGCATTTCTCTTTCATTTCTCAACCTTGCAGCAATCTTAGCCTTCAAAAAAGGCTAATAACAGGAAAGGCTTAATTGACCAATTTATATGTGCTTTGTGCCAAATTGATGAAGTAGAATCAGAGGGATTTTTAGCTTAATACTTCCAGGAAGAGTCTTCATAAACCAGCAAAAGGGAAAAGAAAATGGGCAGCACTGCCCAATCACCATGACAGTAATATTGAGGCATTCTGCATTACTGACTTGCCATCAGTCCTAAACTTGGTCTTTTTTCTCTCTCCTTTTTTTTTAAAATTTTTTAAATTGTTTTTTAATGCCAAGTATGTGCGTCTCCGTTTCTAAGAGAATGATGAAGTGATCAGGTGTGCTGGACCACTGAGCTCAGAAGCCCATGTTTTTTTATGGGGCTTTTGTGAATGTTTTGAGAGGGTTTCACTGCAAGATTTGTTCTGCACGCATTTACCAGGAGTTTTTGTTTTGTCCACATTGTGCTTTTCCTGCCAGGATGGGTTCATGCAGACATCTTAAAGCCTGCTTGCACTCAGGACTGTATTGGCCAAGTACATTCAGGTGTTGCTTCAGTTGGCATGAACATGTACAAGGCTTGTAAATGGTAGCTTTAAGAGTGGCTATCAGGGGAGGATAGACTTGTAGTCTAGAAAGCTCAGGGCAAATTTTGCTCTGAAATAGTTTGTAGAAAGGGAGGAGTCCTCAAAATAAGCAGTTGAGAAGGAAGAACTCTCCCTTTTCTTGGGTAGATAGCTAGTAAATGCACTTGGTTATCTGAAATTTTAAGTGCTGTGAGTTGACTTTATTGTTAAAAACAATGTACTGTTATATTACTATTTAATAGGGAAAAGGTTTGTTTACTTGGAGATTTTTAGACTTCAAAAATGCACAAGTTGACACTTACTAGCTCTACAGTACCTTTGTTTCTTAAATGAAAGAAAAACTCCTGTTTCTTATAAATTGCTACCTAAAAGACACTATATTTATGTATTTTTCCAACCACTGTTGATTTCTGCACTAACAGAGATTTTTAGAGTTGACATTGAAATATTCCTCATTCAGCACGGAAAAAATAAAAAAGACAGCTTTCACACCAACTGGTAATAGTCCTTCACATGACTTCAAGATTTTATATTGGTGAAATCTCACTCCAAGCAAACTTTTGTCTTAAGTTATGCATCATAAGATGCATTAAAATCACCTTCACATAACTCAAATTAAGAACTGGAGAATTTTAAGGAAAGATGGACACAATAGAAATAGAAAGTGGTCTATAAAGTTGCAGTTTAGAGCAACTAAGGTTTGAGTTATTTTAGATTATTTTAACAGTTTTAGTGTGTGGATCTCAAACACATGCCAGAGGAAATTCAAAATCCTTTCAAAATTGATGGATTGCATGGTGGATATAGTAATTTTTCATGTTACGTTAACATCAAGAAGTTGTCCATTAATTTCTCATTATGTGTTTTTATGCAAGAAAAAATGCCTCTTCTCTCTTAGTGAATGATTAGTCTTGAGGAGCTGCAAACTACAAAGAGCAGTTCAATGGAAAAGACAAAAAATCCAACAAAATAATGACAGCAGCCAAAGTGGTTTGGAGCCAGAAAATGGATGTTGCACCAGAGTCTGATAGTATGTGTATTTTCATGATAAAAGATTTATTGAAATGGTAACTTAAAACTTCTGGAAATTCTTTATTGATTGAAGGCCTAAAGGCTTTCTGTAGGCTGAAAAAAATAGCGCAGTTTTTTTCCAAGTTCTTCCCAGTTGCCAAAGTCGTGGTTTGACACTGGATAAGCACCAGGCACTCAGGAGAAAAACTATTCACTCATATTCCTCTGCTACAGCTTAGCAGAGGAGGCAGAAAGAAAGACTCAAGGGCTCATGGGTTGAGATAAAGATTAGGAGAAAACACTCCAAGGGCAAAACAGACTCAAAACTTTAAAAGGTATAAAGAAAAATTTGTTAACGGGATTAAAAGATGTTAATAACTAAACCTTGAGAACACTTCTTCTTCCAGCCTCTCCTTCTTTCCCACTGACAGTACAGGGAGACAGGGCATGAGAGTTTTGTCAGTTTTTCACTCAAAATCTTAGGGAGAGGAGGCTCTTCTGCTATGCTATGGGGACCTTCCCATGGGAGACAGTTCTCTGCAGACTTTTCCAGAGTGGTTCTAATTTTCACAAGTAGCGGTCCTGCCCAATCTGCTGTAACATGAGTCCCTCTCCCAGTCAAAATAGTTTTTCCTAACTACATGTTATGGGTCATATTCATTCATGAGGTACATGCAAGTCTTTTAAGGATAAGCTGCTCTAGTTTGGAAACAAGGTTCTTCTACCTCTGGAAACAAGGGTCTGCTCTCTGTTTGGGTTTCCTACTAGACTACAGCTTTTCAGCATGCACCTGCTCCAGTGTGAGCACCTTTTCTCACAGCCTGTGAATGGATCTCTGGATTCCCCCATGCACTTCACGAATTACCAGGAAACAGTCTGTTGTTTTATAGTCCTCACCACATCTAGTAGAAGAATTTTGGATTCAATGTTTGGAGTACCTCCTGACCTCCTGTCCCTCCCTCCTTTCACTGCAAGCGTAGTATCACCATGTTGTTCTCCTCATGTGTCCTCACCTTCTCCATTTCTCTGACTCAAGAAAAAAATGTCTGTAGATTCCTTTGTTCTCATGGTCTGCCAGTTGAAAAGTTCTATTGGGGTTTTGCAGCGCTGAAAGGTTGGTCTCCTCTGGGCTCTGTGCCGGGGAATTGCTCACTATACCCCTTGCTGTCGGCCACGTGCCAGCAGCAGCGCATGGGCTGTGCCAGCTGCCACGGTGCTGGCACCATTCCGCATCTCTCTTCATGTGCGGCACCAAAAAGGAGAAGCCGCCGCTGCTGCTGCCTCTGCCCTTCTGCCTGCAGCACAGCTGGCTAAAAGCAGCTAAGCAGGCAATGTTCACTTCGAGCTGTGCCGACATGGCGTGCTGCGTGGCCCCGGCAGCCGCTCGTGGCACCGGGATGGCCCCAGTGCCTCCCCACCCCTAGGAAGAAGAGGACGGACTGAGCACATTTTTTTTCCTTCTTAAATATGTCATTGCAGAGGCATTACCAACTTCTCTATTTGGGTCAACAACATGTCTGTCATTAGAGCCTTCAGGGATTGGCTCTTCTGGGCATAGCAGAAACTTCATGGAGCTTGTCTCAGAAGTTGCTTCTGTGGCTTCCCCCATCCCCGCTAAAAGCCATTGTGTTAAACCAATGCACAAAGATGCCTCTTTCTAAACACCAGTCCTTTTTCTTCCATCATCAAGAACAGACCGAGACCTCCCTTCTCCTTATCATATGTCCAGGAAAAAAAAAAAAAGCCACCTGAGGACTGTTGGTAGCAAAGTCTTGGGAAGGACTTCATGTATTCTGATAACCTCAGAAGGCATTATTGGTGGATTGTCTTTTATAGGTAATTGGGTTCAGTCTTAAGGAAGAAAGACTGAAATTCTGCAACCTTGACACAGCTGTCTGTTTACTGAAGTTTTTAATACAATGGCTTAAGTTTCTCTTACTCATAAAAAAAAATCTAAATCTAATGGTTTGAAATCCTAATCAGAGAGAATTCTTTGCTTTCTTAAGGACTATGTTTCTCAGTTCAGCTGCCTGTAAACTCATACATTTTTTGAGCCTGCCGCTCAGCAGGACTTCTCTGAATGAAACAAATTTGAAGTTTCAGTTACAAGATTTTAACTTCTCTTTCTTGATCTTTCCTGGATTTAAACTTTCTCTCTTTAACTTCTCTCTCTTTCTAGTTTGTGTCTGTACTAACTACAGTCTGATACAATAGGAAGGACAAAATCCTTGCTTTTACTTACAGTTATATTATTAACTGTCAGGGATGCTGTTTTCCTGTCCTCAGGTAAATTCTGAGCAGACAGTGCTGACATAATATCACTTTAAATACATTGTTTCCTGGGAGTGAGATGGTATAACATGTTTTTCTTTTTAGGTTTAATAGAGTGTCCATGTATTTTTTTAATATGCTCTACATAGTCACGCATGCACAGTTCTGCATATATATTGAAAATCTGTTAAGTGTTGGTGCTGAGCTGTGTTGAAAAACCTTTTGTTTGTAAATAGTATATATTGTAGGTATTGTTAGAATGGCATTTAAATATTTTGTTCTCTATATTTTCATTGTTAGAACTGAAGAATTAAAAAAATCTTAACTGGCAAATAGAATTAAAAGTGTTTCAGGCA